ACAGTGTCTCTCCCACTCTGTCATCTGCTCTCTTTTTGCACTCTCTCACCACTCTCTTCACCTTTCTTTTACTCTTCATATACTCTAAGTGTTATAAGAAGAGTAGAGTATATGGAGAGTAAAAGAAAGGTGAAGAGAGTGGTGAGAGAGGGCAAAAGGAGAGCAGATGATAGAGTGGGAGAGGCACTGTCAAGAAATTTTAATGAAAATAAGAAAAATTTTTGGAGTGAGTTAAACAAGTTAAGAAAGCCTAGAGAACGAATAGATTTGTCATTTAAAAACAGAGTAGAGGAGTTAGTAGATGGGGAGATGAAGGTTTTGGGTAGATGGCGAGAATATTTTGAGGAACTTTTAAATCTCAACGAAGAAAGGGAAGCGGTAATTTCATGCACTGGCCAGGGAGGTATACCATCCTTTAGGAGTGAAGAAAAACAGGATATGAGTGTGGGGGAGGTGCGTGAGGCATTACGTAGAATGAAAGGGGGTAAAGCAGCTGGAACTGATGGGATCATGACAAAAATGTTAAAAGCAGGAGGGGATATAGTGTTGGAGTGGTTGGTACTTTTGTTTAATAAATGTATGAAAGAGGGGAAGGTACCTAGGGATTGGCGGAGAGCATGTATAGTCCCTTTATATAAAGGGAAAGGGGACAAAAGAGATGGTAAAAATTATAGAGGAATAAGTTTACTGAGTATACCAGGAAAAGTGTACAGTAGAGTCATAATTGAAAGAATTAGAGGTAAGACAGAATGTAGGATTGCGGATGAGCAAGGAGGTTTCAGAGTGGGTAAGGGATGTGTAGATCAAGTGTTTACATTGAAGCATATATGTGAACAGTATTTAGATAAAGGTAGGGAAGTTTTTATTGCATTTATGGATTTAGAAAAGGCATATGATAGTGGATAGGGGAGCAATGTGGCAGATGTTGCAAGTGTATAGAATAGGTGGTAAGTTGCTAAATGCTGTAAAGAGTTTTTATGAGGATAGTGAGGCTCAGGTTAAGGTGTGTAGAAGAGAGGGAGACTACTTCCCAGTAAAAGTAGGTCTTAGACAGGGATGTGTAATGTCACCATGGTTGTTTAATATATTTATAGATGGGGTTGTAAAAGAATTAAATGCTAGGGTGTTCGGGAGAGGGGTGGGATTAAATTATGGGGAATCAAATACAAAATGGGAATTGACACAGTTGCTTTTTGCTGATGATACTGTGCTCATGGGAGATTCTAAAGAAAAATTGCAAAGGTTAGTGGATGAGTTTAAGAGTGTGTGTAAAGGTAGAAAGTTGAAAGTGAACATAGAAAAGAGTAAGGTGATGAGGGTATCAAATGATTTAGATAAAGAAAAATTGGATATCAAATTGCATTGGAGGAGTATGGAAGAAGTGAGTGTTTTCAGATACAGTGGACCCCCGCATACCGTCGGCATCACATAACGTTCAATCCGCATACCGCTCGCTTTTATCGCAAAAATTTTGCCTCGCATACCGCTCAAAAACCCGCTCACCACTGTTCGTCCGAGACACGTCCAGTGTGCGCCCTTAGCCAGCCTCACATGTGCCGCCAGTGGCATTGTTTACCAGCCAGCCTCCGCGGTAACATCCAAGCATACAATCGGAACATTTCGTATTATTACAGTGTTTTTGGTGATTTTATATGAAAAATAAGTGACCATGGGCCCCAAGAAAGCTTCTAGTGCCAACCCTACAGCAATAAGGGTGAGAATTACTATAGAGATGAAGAAAGAGATCATTGATAAGTATGAAAGTGGAGTGCATGTCGCCGACCTGGCCAGGTTGTACAAGAAACCCAAATCAACCATCGCTACTATTGTGGGCAACAGAAAGGCAATCAAGGAAGCTGTTCTTGCCAAAGGTTTAACTGTGTTTTCGAAACAGAGATCGCAAGTGATGGAAGATGTTGAGAGACTCTTATTGGTGTGGATAAATGAAAAACAGCTAGCAGGAGATAGCGTCTCTCAAGCGATCATAAGCGAAAAGGCTAGGAAGTTGCATGAGGATTTAACTAAAAAAATGCCTGCAACTAGTGATAAATGTGAGTGAATTTAAGGCCAGCAAAGGTTGGTTTGAGAGATTTAAGAAGCGTAGTGGCATACATAGTGTGATAAGGCATGGTGAGGCTGCCAGTTCGGACCACAAAGCAGCTGAAAAATATGTGCAGGAATTCAAGGAGTACATAGACAGTGAAGGACTGAAACCTGAACAAGTGTTTAATTGTGATGAAACAGGCCTGTTTTGGAAGAAAATGCCAAGCAGGACCTACATTACTCAGGAGGAAAAGGCACTCCCAGGACATAAGCCTATGAAAGACAGGCTTACTTTGTTGATGTGTTCCAATGCTAGTGGTGATTGCAAAGTGAAGCCTTTATTGGTGTATCGCTCTGAAACTCCCAGACCGTTCAGGCAAAAGAATGTCCTCAAGGAGAATTTGTGTGTGCTGTGGAGGGCAAACAGTAAGGCATGGGTCACTAAGGACTTTTTCTATGACTGGTTATCCCCTCAAGGAAGGTTCCTTGATGTTGGTGAGGGGCTCTTGATTTAGGGAATTGGATCTATGCTCCAGTTCCCCAAATTAAGCCTGAATGCCTTCCACATACCCCCCCAGGCGCTGTATAATCCTCCGGGTTTAGCGCTTCCCCCTTGATTGTAATAATAATAATAATATGACTGGTTACACCATGCATTTGCCCCCAATGTGAAAGATTACCTAACTGAAAAGAAATTAGAACTTAAGTGCCTCCTGGTGTTAGACAATGCCCCTGGTCATCCTACAGACGTGGCAGAGCGACTTTATGGGGACATGAAATTCATTAAGGTGAAGTTTTTGCCTCCTAATACCACTCCTCTCCTGCAGCCCATGGACCAGCAGGCTATTGCAAAGTTCAAAAAACTGTACACAAAAGCTCTGTTTGAAAGGTGCTTTGTAGTGACCTCAGAAACTCAACTGACTCTAAGAGAGTTTTGGAGAGAGCACTTTAATATCCTCAATTGTGTAAACCTTATAGGTAAGGCTTGGGAGGGAGTGACTAAGAAGACCTTGAACTCTGCTTGGAAGAAACTGTGGCCAGAATGTGTAGACAAAAGGGATTTTGAAGGGTTTGAGGCTAACCCTGAGAGGATTATGCCAGTTGAGGAATCCATTGTGGCATTGGGAAAGTCCTTGGGGTTGGAGGTTAGTGGGGATGATGTGGAAGAGTTGGTGGAGGAGGACAATGAAGAACTAACCACTGATGAGCTGATAGATCAACTTCAACAGCAAAAGGCCAGACCTAAGGAAACTGGTTCGAAGGAGGGGAGAGAGAAATTGAAGAAATTGCCTACTACAAAGATTAAGGAAATCTGTGCAAAGTGGCTTGATGTGCAAACCTTCGTGGATGAAAATCACCCTCACACAGCTATTGCAAGCCGTGCTGGTGATTATTACACTGGCAATGTTGTGAAACACTAGGGAAGTCATAAAGGAACGAGAGGTACAGGCCACTATGGACAGATATGTTGTGCGAAAGAAGTCCAGTGGCTCTGAAGCTGGTCCTAGTGGCATTAAAAGAAGAAGGGAAGTAACCCCAGAAAAGGACTCGACACCTCAAGTCTTAATGGAAGGGGATTCCCCTTCTAAACACTAACACTCACTCTCCCCTCCTCCCATCCCATCAATCATCACCAGATCTTCAATAAAAGTAAGTGTCATGTAATTGTGCATGCCTTTTTCAGTTTGTGTGTATTAAAATTAACGTTTCATGTGGTAAAATTTTTTTTTTTTCATACTTTTGGGTGTCTTGCACGGATTAATTTGATTTCCGTTATTTCTTATGGGGAAAATTCATTCGCATACCGATCATTTCGCATAACAATGAGCCCTCTTGCACGGATTAAAGTCGCTATGCAGGGGTCCACTGTACTTGGGAATTGACGTGTCGGCGGATGGATTTATGAAGGATGGGCGGATGGATTTATGAAGGATGAAGTTAATCATAGAATTGATGAGGGGAAAAAAGGTGAGTGGTGTGTTGAGGTATATGTGGAGACAAAAAACGTTATCTATGGAGGCAAAGAAGGGAATGTATGAAAGTATATTAGTACCAACACTCTTATATGGGTGTGAAGCTTGGGTTGTGAATGCAGTAGCGAGGAGGCGGTTGGAGGCAGTGGAGATGTCCTGTCTAAGGGCAATGTGTGGTGTAAATATTATGCAGAAAATTCGGAGTGTGGAAATTAGGAGAAGGTGTGGAGTTAATAAATGTATTAGTCAGAGGGCAGAAGAGGGGTTGTTGAGGTAGTTTGGTCATTTAGAGAGAATGGATCAAAGAATGACATAGAGAGCTTATAAATCTGTAGGGGAAGGAAGGCAGGGTAGGGGTTGTCCTCGAAAAGGTTGGAGAGAGGGGGTAAAGGAGGTGTTGTGGGCAAGGGGCTTGGACTTCCAGCAGGCATGCGTGAGCGTGTCAGATAAGAGTGAATGGAGACGAATGGTATTTGGGACCTGACGATCTGTTGGAGTGTGAGCAGGGTAATATTTAGTGAAGGGATTCAGGGAAACCGGTTATTTTTATATAGCCAGACTTGAGTCCTGGAAATGGGAAGTACAATGCCTGCACTCTAAAGGAGGGGTTTGGAATATTAGTAGTTTGGATGGATATGTTGTGTATCTTTATAGGTATATGTTTCTAAGCTGTTGTGTTCTGAGCACCTCTGGAAATACAGTGATTGTGTGTGAGTGAGGTGAAAGCGTTGAATGATGATGAAAGTATTTTCTTTTTGGGGATTTTCTTTCTTTTTTGGGTCATCCTGCCTCGGTGGGAGATGGCCGACTTGTTAAAAAAAAAAAAAATTCAGATATAATTCTTTTGTTACATTTATGTATTAATTCTTTAAGATTTTACGATGCCTTTTAATTTTGTAAATTTAAGCAAGGTGAAAATTTTACTGTCTTATTATTATTAGATACCAGCATATGAAATGGATACCAGGCTAAATATTTTTGCAGGTATTCTTCCAAAAGAAAAGCCTTTAGAAATCAAGACTGTACGAATAGTCAAGAGAGAATCCACTGAACGAAAGAAAGATCGAGGTACAGGAGGGAAGCGTGTTACAATTGGAGACTCAAGCTTAACACATTTATTAGAAGATGATGTTGAAAGTGATGGTATATCAGATGCTGAAAATGAACCTCAAATTCCTTCATTTGCATCAAGGTATTTTGTAATAATATATTTTTTCGTGAAATGTGCTAACATCAAGTATCTGTAAACATTTCTCTTTTATAAATGTTTTGTCATTTTAATTTCTATGTTTTAAGGTCTGCCTCATTACCTCGTAACTATGGACGTAATGGTCCAGGAGAGAGAGTGAGCATGATGGCAGCTATGATGAGAACGAGTGTGGGAAATGCTGCAACAATGTCACGGCCAAGCAACTTAGCTCTCAAGAAGTCAGCAGGTTGGAAATCTAAGGTAGGCATTTTTGGGGAAGTATTTTATGCATATATGCAGTTTGTCACCCTCATTTCACATTTTTATTTTGCATATTCCTGTTTTTCAACTTATGATCAAAGAAAAACATGCATGTATGTTTTTATTCAAGATTATTTTAGTACTGTACTTCCTTGTTGTATTACTCTTCATAGTACACTTTGATTATTTACTTTAAACAGAACATCATTCAGTACTGTATTTGTTTATCTTAAATTTTCTTTGTGCTATGCCCCCCTGGTAATTTCTCATTTCCTTCAATCCTTAGTATGATGATTATGTAGACTTTACTGGTAATGCATGGCTTTTCATTTTATTCTGCTCCTGTAGACTGAGAACCCCAAAGACCGGCCATTGAGTGCACATGAACAGCTTTTTGGTTTTGCTCGGGAAACTGACCAAACCCCCCCAGTATCCCCTTCCAAGTCGGACCCTCCCTCCCCTGTGTTCAAAAGTGCTGCAGCACAAGAAATTATAAAGGAAATGGCTTCAGAGGCAGAAAAGCATCGGCGTGCAGTGCCTAAAGAGAAGAGACGGCATTTTACCATCTCCAGTAGCCGGCCAATAACATTGGAAGCAAGAGATGCTGGTGCAGAGGAGGTAAATTATCATTGATTTTAGAATAGTGTATCTAGGTGTGATATAATTGGAGCTGAAAGTTTGTAAGTTTTTAAAATTCACTCACATCTTAGTCAGTACTGTACATATTATTACAGTATGGTATTAAGCATTTATTAATTATAGTAAAATGAAAATAAATGCTGTCAAAACCTTTAATTTGCATGCTTAGAGTGTTAATTTTTTTAGCATAGTGCTTCTGGTGAGTAGCTTCAATCATTTGTGAATTTTTTCGCAATACAGTGGTACCTCGGGATACAAACAGCTCAAAACTCAAACAATTATGTAAGTGTATTTATGTAAGTGCTTTTGTAACTGTATTTTTGGGGGTCTGAAACGGATTAATCTAATTTACATTATTCCTTATGGGAACAAATTCATTCGGTATTGGCACTCAAACAGCTTTCTGAAACGAATTAAGTTTGTATCCCGAGGTACCACTGTACTTTTTTTTTTATTTGGTGCATGACCCCTAAGCTGAAAGCTAACCATAGGATTTTGCTCAAATTGTACATAATAGATTTTCCATTCTCAAATATCTTTTTCTTTAACATTCTTATGAATGTCAATATTATCCATATTAGACCAAATTTAAAGAGACGTGGTTTCTGAAACAAAAAATTAGCCCTAATTTCAATAAAAAAATTATGCAAAGAATTTAGTGGTATTCACTTATTCTGAATTCATGAGGTCCTCATGGAGCCTAACCCTTTTGAATTTGAGGAGTTGACTAATTGAAGTTTCAAACCTTTATATCATATTTTTTTTGTTTAAGAGCATATGTAGCTCAGTTGCTAGTGCAGTCAGCTCACACTGAGGTCTGTGGGTTGATCCGCAGTACGGGTGGAAACATTAGGACGTGTTTCCTTAAGACACCTGCTGTCTGGGTTCACCTATCAGTAAAATATGTACCTGCATGTTGGTCGACTGGTGTGGGTTGCATCCTGAGGAAAACTGACCTCATTTGCCCAAAATGTTCTGCATAACAAGGGACTTTCTATATAGTAGTATGTCATTGATGTCAGCTAGGCCTGTACACCTTGTACATGCACTTACAGAAATAAAGATTATTATTATTATGTTGTAATTATTATTTATTTCTTCTCACTTTATGGACAACTTATATTAGTGGAAATAAATAAATATATATATGTATATTCTTTCTTCTTTCAACACACCGGCCGTATCCCACCAAGGCGGGGTGGCCCAAATGGAAAAACGAAAGTTTGTCCTTTTACATTTAGTAATATATACAGAAGAAGGGGTTACCAGCCCCTTGCTCCCGGCATTTTAGTTGCCTCTTACAACACGCATGGCTTACGGAGGAAGAATTCTGTTCCACTTCCCCATGGAGATAAGAGGAAAGAAACAAGAACAAGAAAGAAAATAGAAGAAAACCCACAGGGGTGTGTATATATATGCTTGTACATGCATGTACAGTGTGACCTAAGTGTAAGTAGAAGTAGCAAGACATACCTGAAATCTTGCATGTTTATGAGACAGACAAAAGACACCAGCAATCCTACCATCATGTAAAACAATTACAGTGGTCCCTCAATTATCATCCTTAATCCGTTCCTGGAAGTGTGACTATTATCGAAATAGACGATTTTCGAATCAATTTTCCCCATAAGAAATTATGTAAATACAACTAATTCGTTCCAGACACCCAGAAGTATCAACAACAATTTTTTTTTTTTTACCTAGAAGATAGATTTACATGCACAAAAGAATGAACATTCAACATGACAGTTACCTTTATTGAAGGCTGTTGTTGATGAGTAAGCCGTCCATAATGGTGGTGAAGCAGCAGCTGAGGCGGCGGTGTTTTCTGTAGCCCTATATAACTCCAACAACATTGGAGGAGTTGGTAGAATCGCTGAATCACTAAAGAAGGAACCCTCTACCACCATCACTACGACCTTCTACCACTATGACAACTGTTACCACCATCACTACTACCTTCTACCACCATCACTAGCACCATCAACCACTATCACAACTGCTTCCACTCTACCACCACCACCTTTGTATTTTTCTACAAACTTTTTCATAAATTATGTGTTTCTCACATTCTTTACCAAAGGGCTGGCACTAGAAGCTTTCTTTGGAGCCATGGTAGCTTACTTAGCACTTGCAAGCACTAAAATCAATGAAATACTATGAAATATTTCGTAGGAGCATGTGAGGGGACCGTCACTCACTGGTAAACAATGGCACATTGCCTGGAAAGGCAGGCCCAGGCGGCTCAGAGCGTGAGTACCCATCCCGGACGAAGGACAATTAGCGAGTTAATGGACTATTTGCGAGCCAGTGTTTAGACGAAATAACGGGACTATTTCCGAAATGGACGACTTTCAGGCTGGACGATTGTTGAGGGACCACTGTACAGGCTTTCATTTTATACTCACTTGGCAGGACAGTAGTACCTCCCTGGGCGGTTGCTGTCTACCAACCTACTACCTAGGATATATATATCTCTCTCTCAACACATCGGCCGTATCCCACCGAGGCGGGGTGGCTCAAAAGGAAAAACAAAAGTTTCTCCTTTTACATTTAGTAATATATACAGGAGAAGGGGTTACTAGCCCCATGCTCCCGGCATTTTAGTTGCCTCTTACAACAAGCATGGCTTACGGAGGAAGAATTCTGTTCCACTTCCCCATGGAGATAAGAGGAAATAAACAAGAACAAGAACTAGAAAGAAAATAAAAGAAAACCCAGAGAGGTGTGTATATATGTGCTTGTACGTGTATGTGTAGTGTGACCTAAGTGTAAGTAGAAGTAGCAAGATGTACCTGAAATCTTGCATGTTCATGAGACAGAAAAAAGGACACCAGCAATCCTACCATCATGTAAAACAATTACAGGCTTTCATTTTACACTCACTTGGCAAGATGGTAGTACCTTCCTGGGCGGTTGCTGTCTACCAACCTACTACCTATAATATATACACCTACCATCCGACTTACGACCTGCTCGACTTACGACCACTCGACTTATGACCTTGCTTTTTATGCCAAATTTCTGGGAAATAAAGAACTATTTGTGTTGTACACAGTGTTTATCCTAAACCTTACAGTAAAAATACAGTACTAACAACATAAAAAAGTAAAGTAAAACATGAAATACCAAAATAAAACAATAAAATAAAATCATTACAAAAATGTTTTGTTGATATTCAGTAGTAAAGTTCGATTTATGACCATTTCGACTTTCGACTGGTTTCTCAGAACCGAACTCGGTCGTAAGTCGGATGGTAGGTGTATATCTTTCTTTCAACACACCGGCCGTATCCCACCGAAGCGGGGTGACCCAAAAGTAAAAACAAAAGTTTCTCATTTTACATTTAGTAATATATACAGGAGAAGAGGTTACTAGCCCTTTGCTCCCGGCATTTTAGTTGCCTCCTACAACACGCATGGTTTACAGAGGAAGAATTCTGTTCCACTTCCCCATGGAGGTAAGAGAAAATAAACAAGAACAAGAACTAGTAAGAAAATAGAAGAAAACCCAGAGGGGTGTGTATATATATGCGTGTACATGTATGTGTAGTGTGACCTGAGTGTAAGTAGAAGTAGCAAGACGTACCTGAAACCTTGCATGTTTATGAGACAGAAAAATGGACACCAGCAATCCTACCATCATGTAAAATAATTACAGGCTTTCGTTTTATGCTCACTTGGCAGGGTGGTAGTACCTCCCTGGGCGGTTGCCGTCTACCAACCTACTAACCAGAATATATATATCCATATAGAGAGAGGAATAAATGGGATTAGGTCAGGGGTTTCTAATAGAGTTAGAGCTAAAGAAGGAGTAGCAATAATGTTGAAGGATAAGTTATGGCAGGAAAAGAGGGACTTTAAATGTATTAATTCAAGGATTATGTGGAGTAAAATAAAGGTTAGATGTGAGAAGTGGGTTATATAGTAAGCATTTATGCACCTGGGGAAGAGAGAAGTATAAAGGAGAGAGAGAGATTTTGGGAAATGGTGAGTAATTGCATGGGGAGTTTTGAACCAAGTGTGAGAGTACTTGTGGTTGTGGATTTTAATGCTAAAGTGGGAAAAAATGTTGTGGAGGGTGTAGTAGATAAATTTGGGGTGCCAGGGGTAAATGAAAATGGGGAGCCTTTAATTGAGCTATGTGTAGAAAGAGGTTTGGTAATAAGTAATACATATTTTATGAAAAAGAGGATAAATAAATGTACAAGGTATGATGTAGCACGTAATGAAAGTAGTTTGTTAGATTATGTATTGGTGGATAAAAGGTTGATGGGTAGGCTCCAGGATGTACATGTTTATAGAGGGGCAACTGATATATCTGATCATTATCTAGTTGTAACTACAGTTAGAGTAAGAGGTAGATGGGACAAAAGGAAAATGGTAACAACAAGTAAGAGGGAGGTGAAAGTGTATAAACTAAGGGAGGAGGAAGTTCGGGTGAAATATAAGCAAGTATTGGCAGAAAGGTGGGCTGGTGCAGGTATGAGTAGTGGGGGAGTTGAAGAGGGTTGGAAAAGTTTTAAAAATGCAGTATTAGAATGTGGGGCAGAAGTTTGTGGTTATAGGAGGGTGGGTGCAGGAGGAAAGAGGAGTGATTGGTGGAATGATGAAGTAAAAGGTGTGATAAAAGAGAAAAAGTTAGCTTATGAGAGGTATTTACAAAGCAGAAGTGTTATAAGAAGAGTATAGTATATGGAGAGTACAAGAAAGGTGAAGAGAGTGGTGAGAGAGTGCAAAAGGAGAGCGATGATAGAGTGGGAGAGGTACTGTCAAGGAATTTTAATGAAAATAAGAAAAAATTTTGGAGTGAGTTAAACAAGTTAAGAAAGCCTAGGGAACAAATGGATTTATCAGTTATAAACAGAGAAGGGGAGTTAGTAGATGGGGAGAGGGAGGTTTTGGGTAGATGGCGAGAAAATTTTGAGGAACTTTTAAATGTCTACGAAGAAAGTGAGACGGTAATTTCATGCACTTGCC